TGTGCCCATGAATAATTGCAGGGCAGGAAAGTCCAAGTTCACACCAACTAAAAGCACGTTCAGGACTATCAACACCGTTTTAGAAGCAACCTGCACCACAATGCTCATAGACATCCCTGTGCACTGTTTAGTGTACTTACACAGGAACGTAATCGTAGCCTGTGAATACCTACCTTTGGTGCTGACATCAGAAAGGTAATTATCAAGACCCTTGCATCATTCAAGTACAGGAGGAGAGATACTTATAACAAGATTGTAATGATTATGTTTTTGTTGCTTTCTCCAGAGTTCTCAGCGTCACTCGTCCTGCCCCACTGTCCCACAGACAATGCACCACTAACCTATCTTTCTGTATGAGTGTGCCTTTAAGGAAAGAATGCTCATGCATTTGTATTAGAAAAACACCATCAGATACACTAATTAGTCATTTTTAAGCTTCTCTCACAAATGCAGAATTGGTTGACCTTAAAATTGAAATGTTGGTATCTGAACTATTGTCTTTAAAGCACTGGCTACATTTGTACATAATACCTGTATTACTTGCAGTGACCTTGATGGCTGCTTTTAGAACAAGTACATTTTCAGATATCTGGTTTTATTATGCTTATTTGAAGCAAATAACTCCTACAAGTACAAATTCCTTGTTTCCCTTGAACTGCTTTATCTACTGATATAAGTCATCCAAAACTTTGGGATGCCTTCATGCATTATAAATGTTAACTATTTAATAAGAGACAGAAAGCACTCAAATACTGTAATGATGAGTGGTAACAGTGTAAGAACCTATACAAACTAGCACTAGCCATTATGTTTATCAGTATAGTCAGGCCATGTTTATTCTGCAAGATACAACAGTGTAAACCTGAGATTCACAATTAATTTTAGCCAAATTTACCCTAATATAATAGAACTATCAGAGAGTATGTCAATCTTATTCTCTCATATGCAGAAAAACGCACACATTTTACAAGTAGCATCAGTCATAAAACACATGAACAAAATCGATTTTTAAAATTAATTTTTCTTAACTGAGGTTCTGCCAAAAAGCCTGTACTTTATTTAATGTGAAGAAAAGACGATTTAAAATATGACATTGCTTTTCAATGTGTATTAAGGTGACATCAATATGTTTAATAGCTGCATGAGAAAACAACTAGTAACCACTGATTATACAAGGTATTACCAGCCTCCTGAGGAAAGGCAAACTATGAGGTGAGTACAGCTAATTGAACAGGATCATAACCTGAACAATCCTGCAATAATGAGTACCATCTCATTTGGGTAACTTGTAGAGACCTTATTTTGCAGAGGTTTTTTTAAAGAAAAGGTTGAAATCTCATTCTGCAAACAATTGCCCCTAAAATCATGTTTGCTCCAAGCAGAATGTTCCATTTGTATCAGGAGCGGGCTACTCTGTTATTGTTTTCTTTCCCTTACATACTGACAGCCACTAATCGCCTGCATCCAAATATCATGACTGAAGCCTATACCTCAAATATTTAGCTTTGAAGATTAATGAACATCAGACTATATCCAGCCTTGAGGACAGGGACCATGCTGAAAGTCAACGAACTTTAAATTTGATTACACAAAAATTACCCAGCAAATTTATTGATTTGCTTCCAAGGCAAACAACAATCTTCACAAGTGCTTGTTTAACTTTATACTCCCAAGCAATCAGTCCTGAGCATACACAGACAGCTTCTGTTCACAAGTAATAAAAAATACACTGTTGGGTGAGAGATCTGATAAGAACTAGTACAAGATATTTACATCTAAAAGGACACAGACATGGACGTCTGCAAGATTAACTTCTCATTCTTGCAAATTTTCCTGTCTTCCTGGCTGCACTATTAATCAATCAGTTAATACAGATAACATGATTTAAATCAGATGAAAGTGTCGTAAATATTAAGCATCATTCACATACCTACACACACATCCCTGTATTTATACAGGTACACAGGAATATTCCTACATGTATATATTCATGCACACACACACACATCTATACATGTGTAACAAATTAGATTACATTATTATAACTGAACAAAAAGGACCATTTAATTTACACGCTATGTCTAGCTGGTTTAATATCAAATATAGCACGTATAGAATTTTACTTAAAATGCTATTAACACTCCTGCAATTTTATGCAACGTCAACAACATCTGCTCTTACAGTTTTTATGCAATCAAAACTTGTGATTTAATTTTTCACCCACTGAAAATACATAGTGCCTGGAATACACCTGCTGTCTTTTTCTTAGTGGTCCCTCAGTGCAAATCCTACATTTATGCTCTCAGCTTCTTCAATTTTGCACCTCTCCATGGAAAGAAAATATTTGCAAAAGACAGACCCTACAGATTCAGTGAAGCTTTACCCTGGGCAGTGAAAATATACCTTGTCTGCTGGTAGTTTCTAATATTTTACAGCAGGAAAATGATATTTGCCCTCCTCTGAGTATCTCAAAGAGTATTCCATAACTTTAATTCCATGGTTTTGTAATGGGTTTAAAAATATTTAAGTATTCAACAACTTTCACCTAACACATCATACAAGTTTAGTGTTAATTTTTTTTTAGGCAGCCTTTGGAAAACAGTAGTGAGTTACACTCAGTATAAGCCTTTGAAGCTGGAAAAAGATAGGGATGTTTGCTTTTACGCACTTTCTTATAATTGTATTTTTTAGCCACTGAAGGACGAACTGAAAAGGTTGAAAAAATCCAGCAACTTCAATTATTTTATTCTACTGAGTATCAGATAGATATCCTAATTAAGCATTTTTCACTCAAAATTAAAATATTGGTTGTGACTGGCTGGGCCTTAAGCAAGTGCTGTCTACTGGGAAACTGGACGTAGTTTAAGTTCAATTCCTAGAACAAAACGGGAATCAAGAAATAGTCAAACAGTTTATTCCCAAGCACTAAGAGATAACATGAAATTATTATAGCCAACGCCAATAAATCAAGAGCAAATGTCAAATCAATCCAAGTTAATATATTATTTCTTTCTGTCAAACAACTCCCTTGTAAAGCATTAAGGAAGCATAGTTCACCCACAACTATTGTTAGGTGAGTGCAAATTGTTTAGGAAATCTTATACTGATATTGGTTATAAGTAGTTCATTGTCAGTATAAAAAAGGTACTCAGTGAGATTCCACAGGTGCCTGGCCTAGGTCCAATTTGCTACTTAGTATTTTAATTATGAACATGAATTACAGGATAGAAAAATGCTTTTTGAATGTTCAGATAATACAAAACTAGGAAGAAGAGAGCATTGCTGAAGGACAACTTCAGAATTCAAAACCATCTTGACAACTTCTAGAAACAGTCTACAGAATGCAGAATGCTACTCAGTGAAAAAAGAAAGCAATATACTGCATTTAGGCAAAATTAACTAGTGATTCCAGAACAAGGAACAGAATAACTAGTTAACATTTCTTCAGAAAAGAATTGAAAGATAACTGATTAGATGTCATATCTGAAAAGACAAATTAAAATTCAACTTAAGAAAAGTCATCTTTTCATTTAACAGACCCTTCATATGAACACAAATTTTAAAACTGAATCCATCTCTGGGTGTTGTAGGCATGAAAGATAAAACAATAGTTCAGAGGAAAACAATGTGAATGAACAGCAGTCTAGAATATATGAGGAAATAGTAAAACACACCCAAAGTGTGATGTTTCAGCTTTAAAAGAACATGGGGAAAAAAAATAAGACAATAGTCTTTCAATTAGAAAAAAAGAAAAGCTTCATATTTCATTTTTTTGCGAATCTTTTTTTTTAGTTCAGAGAAAAGCCATTCTATTTGAGAAACCAGACACAAGCTGATCTTAAAATTGAAACGATTTCAACCCACAAAGTCAAACTTAAAAACCTGACTAAACAAATTATATATTTGAAACAATGGTTATGCATTCAGCACACTTAGGAATTAGAACTGGACAATAGGTTTTCTTCAGTTACTTAAGGATCACTTATTGCTCACCTTTCCACAATACAAAAGGATTTTATACAAATATAGGAAAATACCCTTTTGATACCCAGACTAATACACACACAGAACATCCTCTGCCATAAAAGCTAGCATATATTTCTAGATGCAGAAACAAGTTCCTCTTGATGCAAGAAAATAGTCGTTTGTTTTTTTTTTTCACAGTGAGAACAGTCATTCACTGGAACAGCCTCCCCAGGGATGTGGTAGAGTCCCCATTGCTGGAAGTTTTCAAGATGCAATTGGACAGGATGCTAAAATAATCTCATCTAGGCTCCATTTCCCATGAAAGGTTGGACTAAGTGACCTTATGAGGTCCTTTCCAGCCTAGGCTGTTCTATGATTCTAGTTACTTCTATTAATATCTTTTCTAACTGTAAAGACTCACAGTCTGAGGAACCAGATACATGAATGGAGAAATGAAGCATGTGGTAAGGTATAAATCTGAAGCAAACATTAATGTGGCAGTCACATACAAGAAAGGTATGGGGTGTTATTTTCAGTCAAGCAAACCAGGAAGCAGTTTTTATAAAGAACACAAAAATACAGGCTGTTTTATCCAGGTGGAGGCAGGATTAAACCGAATTACGTGTTCGTTACCTCTTTTAAATCAACTCAGTCTGTGTAACTACAGATGCCATCCTAATCATACACCTGAGGCAGCATTTCCAGTCTCTTGTCAAAAACAAAAGGAGATAAGGTGAAACCCAAAGAACTCAATTTGCTAAGCAAATGCTTCCTTTAAATTTGTGTTTTGTTGTTCATGTGATGGTGTACTTTCAAATGTAGATGGAATATCAGAGGAAACAGGTCTGTGAATAACTACAGACTTCTTTGTCTTCCTATTCCCTGCTTCAAAAATTAATATTGCAACAGCTTTAAAACTTACTTTATGTTTGTAAATCAATTTTACGTTGAAATACTGTGCCCTGTGATGCAACATAAACGGCCAAATGACTGCCTCAATGCTGATACAATATAACATGATCTCAGTGACTTACCTTGCTCTTCATTTATGAGGCCCATATGTGCATGTGCTTGTGCCTCTCTTTTCCCACCATCAATTTTTATTCGTTGAGCAGTGTTGAAGCATTGCTCATAGAAGTAATTACTTAACCATTTTTCCTCAGGGTCATTGAAACCGTAGGCCAAGTTAAGTTGGTTGTCGTATACTTCCTCATAGCGCCCTTTAAAAACAAAAATTGGAATTAGAACATCAGATTATCATCAGCTTTTGGAAATCTCGCATCTCACAGCAATAATCGTATAATGAAAATTAAGAGTTATTTATATTTCCACCACTCAAGTACCACCAAATTCTCCTACGTCTCCCCAAAGAAACAAATCTTACAAATTAGGCAGAACTGAAAATACATTTTAGCAAAACCACAAAAAATTGCTCCCATTTCTCTATGCAAAACCAAAATTCAGTTCAACAAAACATGCAAAACGACATTGGATAGCCAAAAGACATAAACTATAGAGATAGCAAGAAAAAAAAAAAAAGCACACAGTCATTGCTGGAGAAGCATTTGTCCAAGCTACTGAGACCTGAAAAGGCACTGAGAGGTTTCAAAACAGGTGATGGAGGTAAAGAACCCAACAGAACACTCCATAAACACAATCCATTAGTTCATACCATTTTAAACATTCAAAGTAAAACTAACAAGGAAGGCTTTTAGTTTTCACTTATATTTCACTTATCACGCTTTAAAAGTTAGGACAAATTTAAGTGTTACATCTTGCTCTGAAAAAAACCACGGTTCATCAATTTATTGCTCTCAGAACAAATGTGGAAAGCAGAAAAGACTCAGATCTCCTTTATAACCTGAAGAAAAAACCCAAACACAACCCACCACATTTAATTCCCACCCTTTATCATTTTGGACAGCTAAACAAACACACACTATCCTTAAAATCTATAAAAACACTGCAATTCATAAATCTAATTAGCATTACAAAATTATCAACAAATGTATAGTGTAAAAAAAAATTACAGAATGGGAGCTTCTACAGGATTAGATTTTTTTCCTCTCAGAAAAGTGCTTAAAAAAATTAAAATCTGCTAAAAATCCTCTTTGGATTATTCCACAACTGTATTAACTTGGAGCAGAGATCTAAAACTCACTCGACAACTCTTATCATACTGCTTCTCCCTAAGGGGGATTTTGAAATATCTATTCCCTACATGATGGTGAAGAATACATGAGATAACAGTGTGAATATATGTTTCACGGCTAAATTATCACTGACTAAACTAAATGAATTTCCTTCACAAACCCTCATGTAAGATGTGAATGGAAACAATTAGCTAAAATTCCACTGCAGTTTTGGTTGGGTACTTACATTCACTTAACAGCCACAAGCACAGTAAGCCAAACAGCTAGTTCTTAAAAAATTTTTCGTAGTCAGGAAAAGGAGTTAAGAACCACAAGACTTGCAGCAGGTAAGGGACTGTTTGGTTAAGCTAGATGTGTGAACAGAACTGCTTTGCTTTCAGGAGTGCTGCAGTTTATAAGTTTTGCTCAACAAAGAGAGTAAGGTGGAAAGGAAAGAAAACAAACCCTGTTACTCCTGGGCATGGAGCACCACACAGAAATCAAATGGGGGGAAAAAACCCCACAACTCCTCAACATAGGCAAGATACGCAAAGTGCAAAACTTTGCCAAGTGTTAAAATTATGACACCATATCAAACCACTTTGATCAAAAAATGTAGCTACATTCTCTTCTTTTTTTATCTGCAGGAAGAATCATAGAATGGCCTAGGCTGGAAGGGACCTTAGAGATCATCTAGTCCAACCTCCCTGTCATGGGCAGGGACGCCACCTCTCGACTAGACCAGGCAACACATGGGGACCAAGCGGGAATCGAACCCGCGACCTCAGGGTTGGTCCTTGTTGTCAGCACCGCGCTCAAACCGCTGAGCTAACCGACTCCCTAGAAGAAGTCAGAAAAATCCAACTTTCCAAAAGGGCTAATTTCTCAACTGTAAATTCTATCATCTATGTGAGCCACTTGCACTGTTTAGAACAAACAGCAGCAATTACTCAGAAAAATATTTTGAATGCATCACAAAACCTCACAAGAGACTGTTTCCTGAGTCCATCTCTGAAGAAGTACTCTGAGACAATACAATCTGTCTCAAAATTAAAAATGGCAAATTACACTTGGTCTAACAGGAAGTAACCAAAATCTCTCTGTCGTCACAACTAAGTTCTTTGACTTCAGAACATCTTGATAAAGCTATTCAGTGTGTTGCACAGCACAGTAAGAACTTTACTCCATCTCCTGAAAGAAAGCTGTTACCACCTACTCATATCTACAGTCTCAAGAGGTTTATCTAGTATTTGTTTCTCCTCCATTTTTATCTCTCTTGGCTATTTTGGAGAACATTGGCTGAATTTTGTCCTGCTTAAAAGTGTCTGAAATCAAACTGAAACGTCTTTTCCCCATTCTTGAACACTCCCTGTTTTTGTCTTTTCATTTCACTCCTCCACTTTAACAGTACAATACTTCTTTGTTGCTTTTGCTTTCCTATTTCTTTTCACAGAGTTCTTCCTCTATGAAGTGGTACCTCGTATTTATATCTTAATAGTTTCCATTAAAATATAGAACAGTTTGTTACATACATTTCCATTTCTAGGATTTGAAATAAGTTAACCACTCTTCCAAGAGAGCGTTTCACAATCTCTTTAGAATCACCAAAATAGAAATACTCCAGAAATTACATCTAGGCTATCATCTTATCAGCTGTATCTAAGTTTTGATACCAAAATATTTCAAAACATCTTAAATTTAGGAATTTGGCTTTGAGAAGAAATATTATCAATGTATCAATTTCACACATTCCTAATCCAAATATTCTTTCTGGCTGTGAATTTTCATGCCTTTTGTTTCCCCATTAGTGCTGAAAAAATTCATCTTGGGTACATCTTCAGAATATTAAGACTATTCAGAAATTGAGACTATTTTGGTACAATAGCCTCATAAAAATCTCTGGAAACTATACCAGAATGGAAGTAACAACTCATTTGGGCTTAATATCTATCTATCTGTGTGTGCATGTACATATGTACATATATATATATATGTAAATACATCTCTATATATGTATGGATACAAAAGTCAACACACAGTTGGGATTCACGCAAACTAATCAACTGAGATATAGATACGAGTTACCTAGGTTCCTTTTCCTCTCAATGAAGAAAAGGAGATACTTGGCTGTGATTTATTTCATCCCAACTTCAACATCTATTGCAGCACAAGGGAGCAGTTTTAAAGGTTATCTCAAAAGTAAAAGACAGAGATTCCTATGATTACAAGTACATAAACAAATAACTACAGGAATAGAGTAATATAAAATATAATTATAACCAGTAACATAAAGATAACAATATACATTCTATATATAGATTATGACTAAGTGAAAAGTAACTTAGAGGATACACACAAATGCTTACAATAACAGAGTAAGGTGAAAGATAACTGGTTTGTCACTGGAGTAGAACACTAGATACAGATTTGTTGCCTTTGAAATCTTTGCTGCAAAGTATCGAGGTTCTACTGCTACATAAAATTACGCAAATAACTTCAGGTAGTGCCCTACAAATCTCAAGAGATGGAGCTGACCTGAGGCGAACTATTGCTACTGCCACAGCTTTGATTGAATGAACTTTAATGTGACCCTCTGATGACTATCCTGCCGGTGAATAACAATGAGGAAGTGCACAAAGACAATCATTTCTCTGTAATTGTCTTGGACAGTGGCTGACCAGATATGCTGGTCATAAAACAAACCCCAAAAGATTGATTTTTAAAAGCTGTATTGTCTTCTAGATTCAAAGTCTGATGTAAAAATCAAGAAATTCATTGAAATTATTCTGACAGTGGTAAAGCTAGCATGTCAGACTTAGTAAAAGTGAACTTCTACCACCCCAGAGGAAAAATATTAGAAAAGGTAAATACTCTGTTCTATAAAATCTCCCGTAGGTAACTCAGTAGCTAAAGTTTTGACCTCTCTGATTTTGCATAGTCAAATCTCTACAACTGATAACAGCATATACTTAGACAAGTGATCTTTCTGTATCTGTTGATACAGAAAAAAAACCACAAAAAACACTACCTGCACCACTTAGAGAGGGAATGACAGACAGCACTGGAATGTGATACTGAAAGAACAGAAGTCTAAATCACACAAGCAATTGTAAAAGGGTTCCTGCAAGACATATTCCTGTTTTTAAATAAGAAACAATTAAAAAAGCACATAGACAAAGGTTCAAAGGCTGATCTCATTAATCTTTCAAAAATTACATTGATTTCATAAAACATTGGAAGCTAAATTCAGGTTTTACAGAACATTTAAGTCACAGGATTGTGAGAACACTGTAAAGATGAACATCTACCCAAATGGCAGCTACACAAACAGGACTCAATGGAGCAGATGGTGAGGGCTGTTAGTTTGCAGTTTCGGACTAACCGAAGAACTGAAGCAGGGTTAAGAACACATCTTTATGTGTAACTATCCTCCAGAACACTTTTTCAATGCCAAACTACCAAATTTAAGGCACTAATATTTCATAAAAGCCAAGCAGAAAACAAATTAAAAGTCATGCTATGTTGCAGAGTTTGTTCTACGATATTGTAATATTTTTGTCTGTGTCACAGAATGTAAGTTACAGAAAATGGATTTCTTTCATTTTGTTTGATCTGAAATTTTCAGAGTATCTTATTGTCCTTTACAATGGAAATCCAGGTTGAAATTGGGTATCTATGCACAAAAGGACAGGATCAAATCTTGCGGATATCTTTTTGTTAAACAAAGCTTTAAGAAAAACTCCTTTCATGTGAGCTTAAACATTAAACCGCATAAACACATAAAGTACTTTCTGCTCTGCATCAGGATTTCTTCCAGTGTATCTCAATTATCAAGCAGGATCTCCCCTTGTTATGCTTAGGCCACAGTCCCTGACTGGCCCACTGAGCAATATCTTTGGTTGTTCCCGGGCTCTTCTCAAAGAGGAAGAGAGGATCATTCAAAATCCATGATATGTGTGTTTGTCATGTTCAGCTACACAACTACTAAGTAGTATAATGCACAGGCATAGTGAGGTGGAAATTGACAATCCCAGCAGAGCTAAGATGAGAGAAAACAAATGTATAGAAGATGTGCAAGCATTCCGAGT